CATGGAAAACAGAGTTGGGATGGGGCAGCCCAACTTCGACTCAAGCAAGCACACGAGTCCCGAGGCACAACAGACTCACAACAGCACACGGGCCACAAAATTTCAGAACCATCCCTGTATCCAAACCTACGTAGGTGCTAGCCTACCCGCTGTCCAAGGCCCATCAACGGACCACGGAAAACAGAGTGAGCACGGGGGCGCAGACTTCGAATCGTGCAAGTACTTGGCCGTATCATCAGTGGGACACACAGACTCAGACAAACACAGCAAAACAGACGCTCAGCAAAACTCACAAATTCGAAGCAATACAGAGCAACGACAGCAGCTTCCTTAGAAAACGGACATCAACAGAGATCCGCGGCCCGACGCCGACCCACACCATTACCGGACATCAACAGAAAAACGGATTTCTCCTCTCAACTAGTCTCAAGTTATGGGTTGTGCGCATTCTGCGTGAGACAGGACTTGAGAGAACAATCGGGACCACACTTCTCAGCATTTTCAGTTTTTTTTTTTTTTTCTTTTGTTTTGTTTTCTTTTCTGTTTTCTCATAAACAGGTCCTTATGGTCCTGGCTCCAGAATAGTCCACGTCCATCCTGGGAAGGTTGAGTCTTGAGACACAAGTCCAACATACAGACAGAGGAGAGAAGATACACCCAATATGCACACTCTGTCACGCACACTAGCAAAAAAGGGCAGTCTTCTATTCTATTCAATTTTACAGACAATCAAACGGAACCAAACAGGCAAGAGAGCAAAAGGGAAGTCAAGGAAGGAAGAAAGGGGAAAGGAGAGAGAGGAGAATAGAGGAGTAGACAAGGAACAATCTCTCGATATTCCTCCCCCCCCCCAAAAAAAAAAAAAAATCCTCCTTTGGAACTTCGCTCCCCCGTCCTCCTCAGGAAATTTGCTTCATGATCTCTTAACTGCACCCAGTTAATGATACTAGTACCTAGAGGGGGAGAGTTCGGCACTCCATGTCATGGTTTGAATTTCATCATCACTTCATTCTCTGATGTCAAAGTTGTCATTTCATTTCTTCCTCATACTCATTCATCATCATTTCATGATCATCCTCATCCTCGTACTCATTCAAACTCATTTCATACTCTACTCATTCAAACTCATTTCATACTCATTCATCATCATTTCAAACTCATTTCATGCTCGTATCATCGTCGTTTCACATCATTTCATCGTCGGTTACGCTTTCTTTAAACTTCAAAAAAAAAGGATGGCTGCTTCCAAAAGCCAACCAGCTAAAAGTTTCTGAAATTTGTTTTGAGCCATTGCGGCTCCAGGCGTAGCTTGTTACATGGGTCGTGGTGTGAATGGGAACTTAGCTTCCATTTGGGCCTCTTGGATTGCTGTTGCATTGTGATATCATTGTGATTTCGTTGTGATTTCAATGTGATTTCATTGTGATTTCAATGTGATTTCATTGCGATTTCATTGTGATTTCATCGTGATTTCATTGTGATTTCATCGTGATTTCATTGTGATTTCATCATCATTTCATCGGCGTATCCACAGGCAGCACATACCTTGTGTTTGCGAATGACAGCTGAAACTGCCGGTGTAGAGATAATTCCATTCCTGTTATGCAAAAGCAAGCAACCAATCACGCAGGCAAGACAAAAGTCCACGTAAATGAGGTCATATACATACATAAACAAGAAAAAAAAGTTAAAAAGTTAGCGAGTTCTTTTTTTTTTTGTCGAGTTCCAAGTTTAGTGAGGGCGACCGCGCAAGTCACCAAAAAGGAACCATGCACAAATAAATTACGCACAATGCTCATCCAACGACGACGACGACGACACGCTTCCGAGAGAACAGATCAGCCTCTTCCTCCGGAAATAACAAACACACTAACTTCAACAATGACAAGTCAGGGCCTCCAAAAGAAAAAAAGACAAGTCAGACCCTCGAAAAGTGCAATCTGCTCCCCCATAAAGTTGCGAGGGAGTCAATTGCGCGCATAGCGTACTCTCCTCAAACATAGGCATGAAAACAGGCAACGCTTGAGAGAAGAGCCTGATGGGATAACCCCCAAGCGCATTCTCAGGCTGCTGATCCAGCACCAGGCCTCATGGAGGGCAAGAAAAAAATGCGAGAAAAAAATGTTTTTCGCCCTCGATGACCTTTTCTTTGGGCTTCAGCAGAGCGAGAAAAAAACGTTTTGTGGGAGCAAGAATGCATGCTAGTTATTTTGCCCTCCCACATGTTACCTCCATCCTCTCCTTGTCCCCCCTCCCACCCATTCGCCGCCCCACAACATGTCAGTGCTATTTTCCACGTAACGACAGCACAAACGCTGCACTTCCTCAAATGGTAACCTAGAAATCCTCCATGTACAGAAAAGGAATATAGAAAAAAAAAAAAAAAAAAAAAAAAAAAAAAAAAAAAA